GGGCGGGGGAGATTTAACTCCACACCTCAACATCTTTTTTGAAATGTACCCACAGCCTAGGTTTTGAATGACATTACTGTTCTATTGCTTAACAAAGAAACACGTGAATTAACTCACATTCCAAAGACCATTTGAATAGCTCCTGTTGAATGTTGGGAACTATGCCATTATCATCTCGAGTTGTCTTCATCTGGGATAACACATCAGTTGTGACCTCATTCAATTGCTGTGAATATTCACCAACAACTTTGGGTTTCAACATTTTCATGTTCAAGATGCGACGCACCTTGTACCACTCTTCTCCTTGCCTGCATTGTTGACACAAAAATGTGTAGATATTTAATCCATGACATGCATGTAGGCCCTGGGGGTACTCTGTTAAGCTACATGTAGCCATACCCACCCACCGAGGAAAACGGGGGGAAACCATACCCTTCACAGCAGCACATAAACGTACCTATATAGCCTATATATGAGAGTAGTCCCCCCCCCCCCCAGATAAAAGCCAACTTTGGTTTGGTCTATCACAATCTCATTTGCAGCTTCATATGTTGTAAACTTATATTATGCCCTTTCCCTCCCTCCTGTTTTCCTTGGGGGTGGGTGGGGTACAGCTACACATAGGCTAGTACTCTGTAAATCTGTAAATCTTTGGGTGGGGGTCACTAGTCCCACTGGGACACTGGAACCCATACCCTAGACTAGACCATGATCAGCTTGATTTTGTCACGCTATTCTAGACAATTCAGGCACCAAAAGCCCCTAGCCTATCCAAGAATAGCTATTTTCCTTGCAGTTTATCTCTCGTTGTCCAACATCTGCTTACTAAACCAATCTAACAAAGTCATTTCTGAGTTTCAATTTCTATCATAGAACCCTAGGTAAAGAACCCCAGTCTAGACTAAGTTATTTATACACTGGTCACTTTCTTGGTGCATCACACCCTATTCTAGACCAACACTGTCTGATTTCTATACCCTATCTCACACTGAACTGCCTGAAAACCATACCCTTCACAGCTGCACATACATGTACCTATATAGCCTATATGTGAGAGTAGTCTCCTTCCCCTCCTGGATAAAAGCCAACTTTGGTTTGTTCTATCACAATCTCATTTGCAGCTTCATATGTTGTAAACTTATATTATGCCCTTTTTAAGGTAAGGTCTGCATTAAGACACATTTTTCTGTCTTGAAGTAGCTGGAGCTTACCTGTATCCTGGTGTCTGTAACATGTAACCAGCAATGCAGAGCTGCGCTGTGGCTTAATTGGGTTGAGGAGAATGAGTTTAAGCCCTGGTTCCGGACATTGTGTTATATTCTTGGGCAAGACACTAACATTGTACTACCTCTCTTCACCCAGGTGTACAGATGAGCAGCAGCAAATTTAATTCCTGAGAGGTGACCTGAGGACTAGTGTCCCATCCAGGGGAGGGGGGGATTAAGAAAAGTACTACTTCTTGTCGACCCCAGATAATGCAGACTTTACGAAAGCAGCTACATGTATATAGGAGGTTTTTACATTTCACTACCTTGATTTAAGATGTGACACCATTCGATTGCTCGAGGGCTCGTTACAGCACCAGGTAGCCCAGACCATGACCTAACTAATAACCCTAGGGAACCTTGAATCAGGTATTCAGTTGCAGGGCTCCTAGGGGTACTTTTTGGAATACTAGTTCTTGCTGTTCAATATTGGCAGCTATTGTCAGAGCCCTCTTAAATACAACTGTAGCTGTGATGCCATGGAGACAGGAAGGCTTATTGACCTTATTCCACCAACTCCCCCCAGCCTAGCCACAACCTCAAGGGAAGAAAGGCAGTGAGTTGCCCATAATTGGCAGGTCACTGGACAAGCTTTGTTGAATTAAGGTAGATTGGTCCAGAAATATTCACTGAAACTGCAGAAGACACCAAAAGCAGGCTGAAGCACCGGGCAACAGAGAGTTTGCTACAAATCAGGCTGATTTTTTCTTCCCGGTGACTGTGGCAATCCAACAGTTTTTTTTTTTGTTTCTTTTTGTCTTGTTTTTTTTTTNGGGGGGAGGGCTGGGAGATGGCTCTGTTTTGGAAACTCATGCCTGTTGAATTGCAGGACTGGTCAAGGGGTGGGGAAGGTCAGTTTCTTTTTTTCTTTCAGCTACATATAAGACCTTCCTTTAGAATTATGCCACTAGCTGAGCAGCCAATTAAAATTAAGTCACTGAAATGCAAGTGTGATCATCACTGGCACTTGGGCTGAACTGCTTTGAGCCACATGATCCATATAGGTTACAGTAGCTGTCATCACAACCTCCACCAAGAGTCCGAGTTCTTATAATGACCAGTGGCTGGGAAGCGAGAAACTATAGAAAATTCTGGTTGAATTGCAAATGACTAGATTATGAACACATGCTTTACTCGTCCTCTTTAAAACCAACCACTGAAAATCAAGCCTGCGATGTCTGTAACTCCTGAGAGTTGCTTGTTTTGTCAAGCTTGCAGAGTAGGGAACAAAGACTACAGGAAAGAGATTTTTATTATTAGAAATGGTAAGACTTTCTACCAGCCCCGTGGCCTAGCCACAAGTCCTGGGGGGAGGGAGGCACACCTGTT